TAAGCATAGTAATGAGAAAAGAAAAAGAAAATTAGAATTCGGGTTGTGATTGGTTTTCCATGAAACTCTGAAGTTACGTGACCTCTTCTCTCTCATATCTCCATCTCCACACCTCACCCCAAATCCCAAAATAGTTTTCAGTTAAATAATCACATACTCCTAGAACTTTTTTAAAGTAATATTCTTGAACTGTAAGAAATCTATGGGTGAGATTTATTTTACCTTTTCACCGTGCTTTTTTAAAGTAATATTCTTGAACTGTAAGAAATCTATGGGTGAGATTTATTTTACCTTTTCACCGTGCTGTTAATTATCTCTGGACTTTGGCGGGGCAGGTATTTTTTTAAAAGGCAATTAAACAAACACCTTGAGTGCTGTTTAAAAATTTGAGGAAGTTGAGAATATGATAACGACCAAAGGAGAAACATAAAAGTTTGAACGGGAGTTCTCGGACTGGCGGTCGTCGTGATGTCAGGTCCAGCCCATCTCTGATCTTATCCTTCGATTACTTTTGTTATTTTTTCTATTTTACCAATTACCACCCGAACAAATTCTTTCTTCTGTTTTATATTAGACTTTTTTTTCTTTTTCTTTTTCATAAGGCTTATTTGCACTTTCATACCTCCAAAGATTTACTTTTCGTAGCTTTGCTATAAGCTGAAGTTTTATTTTGGGGAAAAATGTTTCAAGGCCCCAAAACCAAAAATCGGATGTGGCCCAGCCCCCCCAATTATCTGCCTTAGCCTTCAGCCCCAAAAAATTGCGAAAATTGTGGGCCAGACCCAAAAGCCCATATGTATACATCTAGTGGGTGTATTTTGTTGCTACCTGCCGAAAATGCCCTCATCTCTCTCACTGAGAAAACCGGCTGAATGGGTTCTCTTGTTCGGTCATCTCTCCCAACGCATTTATGACGAAGTGACAGGGGAAAGCGGGGGGGAAAAGCGCGGGCTCCCGCCATTACTGTCTGTTTCATCATCCTTTGTTATAAATTGGTTAGTTTTATCTCTCACTCTCTCATTAATGAAATTAGGGTTTTTTTCAACTGTCTACAGCCCTTTTGCACCTGAAATCCCCTCAATTACTCCTCAACTCCTCATAATTGCCTTCATTACTGTCCTCATAACTTTCAACCACCCCTAATGGCCGTCAATGACTTGATTTGCATGGTTTCTTTAGGCGAGAATGCCATATTCGTGAAGCTAAGTTCGACAACAAGCTTTGATGAACTCCAATTTGATGTGTCTGAAAGATTGAAAGTACCTAAAGAAGCTTTATCCTTTATATTTAAATCTGAGAGGCACCCCAACCTCAGTTTTTCAGTTGACAACGATGATGATTTGAAGTGCATGTTGGAGCACAATCGAAATATTGGTTGTACGGAGATTCACATGCAAGCTGCTGTTAATGTAGAGTGTTCCACTTCAAGGAAAAATCAGATTAGGGAAATGTAAGTAATTAATGAACTCTTTATAACATTGGGTTTTGTGTGATGTAAACATTGTTATTTTTTTCTTCAACTTTCAACCATCCCTTATGGGCATCAAATCCCTCAATGTAAGTTATTAATGATTTGTAAGTAAACAATGAACTCTGTCAGGAACAGGTCTATGTGTGATGATAAGCCAATTGTGATTTCAGGTTTCGATGCTAACTTGGAAAAAAATAGTTGTCATCTCTGATGGTTAGATGTTAACTCTTCATCTTACAGGTTAATTTTCCAAGAGATATGTTAACCTTTACATGAACATGTTAATTGTCGTGGGAACATGGTTAATTTTACACCCAGTTAGTTAACTTTTGTTGTACTATGTTAACTTTGGTCCTACTGCTGTTAACTTAAATTATCAGAAGATAATATAACATATTGTGCATGATATCTCACTGGTTGATTAATTTATGCAGTAGTGATGCCTCTTTGAATGTAGAATATAGTCGTCCTCCTCCAGGAAATGCATCCAATTCAGAGAGAATCCAAAATGATTTCCCGTCTGGTGAGGTTGTAATGAGAGCTGATGATATTCTCAACAACACTTCCAGCATTCCTCAATGGTGGCACACAACATTAACTGAAAAGGGGCAACAATTTGAGACTGTAAACGAATTGAGACTAGCTTTGCAGTACTATTCCATGGCGAAAAAATTTGACTATGAATTTGTAAAGAATGAACCCAAACGTATCCGAGTATGTTGTCGATATAAGGAGACATATGGATGCCCTTGGATGCTCTTTGCATCTCCTGTTAAGTATGGTAAAAGAATTGAAATCAAAAGGTTTGTGAATGAACACAGTTGTGGACAACATGCTAACAATTCAGGGCAATCACGGGCATCTCGTAAATTCATAGCAGCCCAATTGCGACCGGTATTAAAGGCGCGACCTCAAATCCGACCAATTGATGTGCAAAAGGAGTTCCTCACTCGATATGGATTGAGACTTGAATACAGTAAGATATGGTGGGGCAAAGAAAGAGCGCAGGAGGATATGTATGGTGATAGTTATGAGGCTTATGATCAATTAAGATGGTAAATTTTACAGTTATTTTATTAAGTGTACAAATTTTTATCATAGCCGCTTATAGTACAATTGTTAGTTGTTGATTTATCATGCAATATCTTATCCTTAGATGTTTCATGTTAGTTTTCATTGATATGTTCCAACTGTCATTGTGGAATGTTATGTTTTATGAAAACTTGTGAGCTTTTATGTTAATATATTATCCTAATGTTCCAATGTATTATATATGCTTGAGCAGAAGCTACATTGTTGTACAGGTATGAGCAAAAGGTGAAGGAAACGAATCCAGGAAGCTACATATGCATTGACCAGAATGAAGGAAGGTTCAAAAGACTGTTTATATGTTATGCCGCTTGCATCGTTGGTTTCTTAAATGGGTGTAGACCCCTATTATTTTTGGATGGGACCTTTTTGAAAGACAGATACAAAGGCATGCTCCTGAGCGCCATAGCATACGACGGAGACCAAGGGATATTTCCGCTTGCGTATTGTATATGTGATCAGGAAAATGTTGATAATTGGAGATGGTTCCTTCAAGGCTTGTGGTCCATACTGTATGAAAGGTTAGACCCGTACAATCCTCCCCACCAATTGGTAATTATTTCTGATGCCGACAAGGGGATTCGAGAAGCCGTGAGAGAATATTTCCCTGAAGCAATCCACTCACGATGCGTGCTGCACCTAGTTGAAAATTTTAGAACAAAGCTAAAGGATTTGGGATTGAAAGCAAAGGACACACAAGTTTTGGGGAGTTTGCTCCAATCTGCTTGCTATAAATACACTATAGCGGAATGGAACGACTACATGAAGGAAATTTATGAGATGGCTCCAGTCGCATATGAGATTGTACTCTGTTATTCGCCAGAGAAATGGGCGAATGCATTCTTCCCTGGCATCAGGTAATGCATTCATCTTAGATTATGACGTTTTGCAGTTGATGTTAACTATTCTACATATATGTGAATTTTTCTTTCTATAGGTTAACTTTGTCTGATATATGTTAACTTTCAGCAATATATGTTAACACTGATGTTTTTATGTTAACTTTGAGCAGTAAAGGTTAAGTTTTGTTGTTTTTTATTAATTTTATTACATATTGGATGCCCATCATACTATTAATTATTTTGTGCTTTGCAGATATGGTCATGTAACCTCTAATGTTGCAGAATCCTTTAACAGCTGGATACGTGAAGCTCGATTGTTTCGTATCCTGCAAATGGTAGAGCATATCCGAAAACAAATTATGAGTCGCCTGAACAATAGACGGATAATGGCTGATAAGTGGACAAGCTATCTGTGCCCTAAAGCTGAGAAGATTGTTAGAGAAAATATGGAAAGAGGACGTACTTTAGAGGTTAAACAATCTAGAGATGATATATTCGAAGTGCAGTCACATAGAACTACTCACGTTGATTTGGAGAAGAGGACGTGCACTTGCCGAGCTTGGGACGTAACCCGTATTCCTTGTGTGCATGCTTGTGCAGTCATTATTTATATGAAAAGAGACGTATATCAATATTGTGATTGGTTCATGTCCGTAGAAGCGTTTAAGAAGAGCTACGACGAAATATTATATCTCATCCCAAATTATAAGAAGCGGAGTGTGTCCAGGGATGAAATACAGATTTTGCCACCAGTTACCACTAAGAGGAGGGGAAGAAATAAAACAAGACGCATAAACAACAGAACCATTTACAAACGTCCAGTCAAATGTTCTCGGTGCAAAGTTGATGGTCACAATCGAGCAACCTGTAACGAGCCCATCTGGTGACTAGTGTGTTTTTGCATCTTACAACAATACTTTTGTATGAGACGGCAAAGTTGTTTTTAAGTGGTTAAGTATATAGTGGTGGACTTTTGTAATCTGTGATAATGATCGACTAATCATTTTCTTCATGCTAGCAATATCTAAAAGCAAGGCTGAAAGATGTTAACGGATTTGTGATTGTTCATCTTAGATTTTATTAAAAGATTTTGATTTTAAATTGGCCAAATGTCCAACATCTCATTCACTGTTCTAACAGCTAACTGTCCATCATACTGTGCTAACAGGTTCATTACAACGGCTAGTTTCTTGTTCCTTATGCAATATATAATGTGCCCATGGACAAGCTAAATTTAAATGTATGTTCTATCTTCCCTGCACTTGGAGTTTGATAGAGTGAGATGAGAACATCAGAGATATCTCAGTCACAAGAAGAGGTATATTGTTTCTGTCAAATTCCAACACCCATGAGGCAGTGCAAAAAGGGGAAGAATAAAGGAAGATACTTCTGGGGATGTGCAAATTTCCCAAATATGCAATGCAATTTTTTTGCTTGGGCTCACAAAGAGAATGCAACGCCCAGTAAGATTATTCTATTCTGCCCAGAAGTCCCCGTTGAAGATGAGATAGCGACCAAAACAAAGCAACTGAAAAAAGCACTGAAGCAATCGAACCGTGAAGTCGAAAAATGGAAACTTTGCTCATTCTTCCTATGTTGTTTTTGTATGGTACAAATTTTCTTCAACATTGTGATCTGTAAGATGAAAATCAACTGAAGAAACTTCAGTTTGTTATGCTTTTACTGTAAGTGGTTAAATATTATGTGTCACCTTTCACTAAAGTAGTCAATTTTAGTGACATTTATGTTAATTTCCCTTCTGAAAGGGGTGATGTATCAGAGTTATACGTTTACTTCTACTAAAAGTGGTTAATTATTAGACTTTTACGTTAGCGTTTACTGAAAGTGATTATTTATCTGAGTTATATGTTAACGTTTTCTGAAAGTGGTTATGTTCTCGAGTTATATGTTAACTTTTACTGAAAGTGGTTAACTATCAGAATTATACGTTAACTTTTACTGAAAGTGGGTTTTTTACCAATTTTTTGGCAGTTTTGTTTACTTTCAGCGTACTAGGTTATCTGTTAACCCTTAGGAGGAATATGTAAAAGCTAACATATATATTTTTTTCTCAATATATCAGTAACATGTTCTATCAGTATAAGTCAACATGAACTGTGATGCACTTCAACCTGTTATTAGCAATGATTACAATAGCAACCAGTTTCACAACCAGATATGTGGATCTTCTCATCCACACTATCAACCAGTTACACAAACAGTGGAATAACTGTCAAAGAGAATGATACACAGCTGCAATAATGTTAACTAAATTAAAATGCCAGTTAGTTTTGTTCCCAATTCAATCTGTTCGTACACAACACTTTTTAGGATATCAATCACCCATCCTTTTCCACTGTCTCCCCTTGATTTTTCTGTTCCCATCCTTCTATTAGGAGTTCAGCTGCAAGCCTGGCACGGATGACTTCAGACTCGTCAGAGTGATTAGTTACTTGAGTGGTATCTACCCCATGAATTATAGCCTTTATATATAAAGGAACGAAAAGACCACAATCAAAGCTGCATGATATAAGATGGAGCAGATAGTTAGATATAACATGCTGAATAAAATGAAAATGTTTAAATTTAGTTAACATACTAAGACATGTTTAAATGCATGAAATACTAACATTCCAGTCTGTTGCTCACAAGGGACGGCTTCATATCGGAACTTTCTCCAAATATTATTCGGATCGAAACCAGACTTCATATGGTCCATGAATGCAATTACTTTATTTACTGGCTCCTCCTTCTTCTTGATTTTCCTTCTTCTTGATTTTCCTCTTCCCCAAAAAATCCCAAGTGCATTCATCAGGCTTACAATAGAACCTGATTTTTTCCCTCTCTTCCTCCTTGTGGTGTGATATGTTAATTATCTCTTGATGAACTTCCTTCTTCTTTTCTTGAGTGAAAGGGGTGCGGACTAGTTGTGAGCGCGTCCGCTTTCTGGTACTTGGTCCCCTAGTCCCCTTTGACGCTAATCTCTTCATTCTCTTCTGATAAACTTGCACCTGTTTTCCATCCTCCATCCTTTCTTCATCTTTCTTCTCCTCAGCACATTCTCCCTCTCTGTTTTCCACCACTTTTTCTTCATCTTTCTTCTTTCCTTTTTCCTCTTCCTCTTCCATCCTTTCTTCATCTTTCTTCTCCTCAGCACATTCTCCCTCTCTGTTTTCCACCACTTTTTCTTCATCTTTCTTCTTTCCTTTTTCCTCTTCCTCTCCCATCCTTTCTTCATCTTTCTTCTCCTCAGCACATTCTCCCTCTCTGTTCTCCACCACTATTTCTTCATCTTTCTTCTGATGTTTTTCCTCTTCCACTTTCTCCTCTTCCTCTTCCTCTTCCTCATTCTTCTCCTGCTCTCGCTCTTCCTCTTTCTTCTCATCCACAGTCGCTTCCTCTTTCTTATCCTCCTCACTCTCTACAGCTTTCTCCAAATTATCATCCTCCATCTCTTGCCATTCACCTTTCTCTAACTCCTTCTCTGCTTCCTTGCCAATATTGGTTACCTCGTCATAATCGAAGCAAATTCCATCATCACCCCTGTCCTCAGAATCAATACTCCTCCTTATTTTCTTTTGTGCAGACCCTGTATGCCCCTCTTTCTGTGACATAATCCCCTTCACATTCTTCTTCAGGTCTTCGGGGTCAATCAAGTCAGCGGTCCCTTCATAACGCTCTAATTTCTTGTTCAGCCTATGTATCTCCTTAGAGCATTCCTCCCATTGAAGGCGCTTACTATGCTTGACAGTGTGGAGCAGTTTCCAATTAATTTTGGCTGTATTCCGCCAAAATTGAATTTGATCTTCGGTTGTCAACTTCTCTATTTCATCTTCACTCTCAAAAGCATCTCTAATATGCTGGACCAAAATCTGAAAAGTAAACCATATACCCATTACCCATATGTATCCACAATATTAAAAAAAAATAGTTATGATAATCCACAATGTAATTTTCTTACCCAAAACATGTTAACATGAAACAATGAGTACATGGAAAATTAACTAATGATAAAGATAGAAAATTTAACTCAATTGGTAATATGCAAGAATGTGTAAAGAGTCATTGATGCTTACGTAACCTATGGATGAGCTCCTTGTCCTGCCCTTCACCTTATCTTGCTTCCCATCCTTTACCTTTTCTTCCTCATTCTTCTTTCTCACCCTAGTTTGCTCCATAACCTTACTCCTATATGAGACAATTGGGCTTCTTTTTTTCCCAAAGCGAGCGATTTCAATCTTCTTTTTGCTAGGCTCCCGTTGAGGGTATTTTTCACCTTGAGGGTATTTTTCACCCCATTCAATGCTGGTCGTAATTGGTCTCTCCATGATTTTAATGCTTGCTTTCTTGGCCTTAGAGACAATTGTCTCCATCCTCAACGATCCAGCAGTCCCTCCAATCCTTACCCAATTGGTCATCGGAGGCTTCCATCTCAAGTTTAGGGCTGGTTTTTTAATGCCAGTCATCTCATAGTACCATAGCTGTCAGAATCGAAGGAACGAATATCAAAATAGTTAACTTTCAGAACTCATTCTTCAACTACACTCTAAATAGCTACCTTTCACCAAAACATGTTAACATTAATGGGTACATGTTAACTTTCACCTATTAATGTTAACTTTAATAATTATATGTTAAAGTTCATGATAACATGTTAACTTTCACCTATTGATGTTAAGTTTAATTTTTATATGTTAAAGTTCATGTTAACATGTTAATTTTAACCATATTATGTAAACATTTAATATTGTACATGTTTTCTAATGCCTGTTACCAAGACTAATGTTAACTAAAACAAATGTCAGACCAGTTGGTCATGCAACTTACAGGGATGAGCGGCATGCATCCAGGTACGTATGTAACCCCTGGCTTCCTCAACCCTTCAACGGCAATTTGAATGCCTCTCTTCGTCTCATCAAAAATAAATTTACCCCACGCAATGTTCTTCACTCTCTCAATACTATCTACATATTGAAACAACTGTCTTGGAATGCCTTGTGAGCTGTTGGGGCACCAAATCATTGCACACTGGTACAAGATCTGAAGCAGCACAAAATCCTCAATGTCCTTATTTTCAGAAGACTCAACCAGTGTTTCCAGTAACTCCTCAACATATCTCCTCATGCTACCAGCTTCTTGTGTGTCCTTGGCCTTCTCCTTTGACTTTGCCTTTAGCATTTCTTTCTTCTCTTCAAAATATTCCCTCCAAAGCCGGTTGTGCGGGTGTCTATTCCCGTAGATCAATTCCCCATCAATAGGGAAGCCCGTGTGAGTTTGCACCCACTCTTCATCAAATTGGACTGAAAATATAGTCCCGCTTATGGGATCAGAAAAAGAGAATTCATCAGTTTCGCCAACATAATGGCTGAGCACATGCTCTAGTGCCCGTCGATCACGTGCTGGAGGTCCGAAGAATACATAGTGCTCAAAGTTACTGCCCTTGTAGGCATCCCAATGCCACTGCTTCAGTTTTGGTTGAAGTCTTTGCATGAAAGTACAATATGATCCAAGACAGGCACTAGGCCGTATATCACCTTCGGCTGTAGCTTTCCTGCATAAACAACTATTTACTCTTAACAAGTCATTCAACTCCAAAGTAGGTAACAATTAACCGTAAAGGCATTATCTGAGTCAAAATTTCGTTTTATTAACATGAATAGCTAATACTTGACACTTATGCATAAACGTTAACAACAACCAAGATTTATTGACATGCATTGCAACTAGCTATCAACAAATGAGAATTATTTACATGCATTTGTTCCAAACTGATAACACTTCGTATTGTTCAGATCTTACTCCAAAATTACGAAACTGGTTCTACACTACAATAACCAGTCTCTCACCACCATTTTATTCAAAAAAAGATCCCATAAACCTCAATTAA